TGCTGCTGCTGACGGCTCCTTTTGGAGCCGGCTCCCCTTCCTGCTGGCTCAGCTGCCAGGAAGGAAGCTGCCTTGCTGAGCTTGGGTTGGGCAAAGCCAGCCCCTCCAGCTGGCCAGGGTCAAGCAGCTCTGCACCTCATTGCCTTGGCTCCACACGGGGTCTTGCCATCATCCCCGCGATGGATGACCCAGCTCCCGGGATGCCACCGTGCCCTTGTGGAGACCGGGAGCACGTCTGGGCTGAGAGATGTCAAAAGCCAAGAGCAGCTGGAACGTCTGGAGAGCAGTGGGAGCTGCCCATGCGTCTGCCCTCCTTCGCTCTGCCCGGAAAGGGCAAGGACCAGCACACGGCGCTGGCACAACTGGGCGCTGCGAAGGACGTGGGGTTGCGGCTCCACTGGGATCCGGGCCAGGCAGGGAGCGTTTTGGGATGCGGGAGGGGTGCAGGTGTGAGCCTGGCCCAAGAGATCCCTGGGCCGTCAGCCAACCCTGCCAAGGCAGCCAGAACAGCACCGGTGTTTTTCAGAGGCACGGGGAGCTCCTTCGAAGCAGCAGGACCCGAGCCACACGCCGTGGCCCCGTACCAGAGCAGGGATGGTCAACAGCACCCACGGGCAGGCCTGGCATTCTTCCCTGAGCAGCCCCCCGACCAGACCTCAGAGGCTCCAGGCATGGATTTTTGCTGCAGGACAGGCTGTACGGGACAGCAGCCCCATGGAGACTCCAGGAGCTCAGCCCAAGCAGGAGGGAGCTCCTCTGCCAGGCGTGTGCCTGTTGGAGCGCTCACCCGAGCCCAGAGGCCACGCTGTGGCATGGCCAGAGAGCAGCGGAAACCGCTTGCAGAACAAAGGTGGAAACCGCTTGCAGAACAAAGCGCCTGCCTGCCGCGGCCTGAAAAGCTCTCCCAAATCCTTTGTGAGCAGCCAAGAAACAGATGAGGGATTCCTCCAGTGTTCACCAGGCACTGAGCGGGGACAGCGCTCCAGGAGCACAGCACACGGAGCGGTGCCAGGAGGCTCTGCCAGGAAGCGGAGGCGGCAGCGGCCCTTCGGCCACTCTCAGGCACAGCTGACCCAGGCCAGCAGCCTCATTGCTGCCAGCAGAGTTGTTGCATCCCATCCCTGCCTCCTTCACAGGCTCACGAGGGTCAAGGAGCACCCATGAACCAAGCCACGGAGCCCCCCAGCACACACCACCACGGGGACCCCAGCTCACAGCTCAGCACCACGCACATCAGGCTCAAATGTTTCCTACTCAGAGCTTTTTTTGGTCTACAAGATGCTCAAACCAGAAGTTTCCATGACCGAACAATTCCCATGGCTGCCTGCAGGCAGCCAAAGAAGCCCTAGGATGGCTCCAGCCCGGCGGGGAGCAGACGGGGGCAGGAGCAGGCTGGCGCGGAGGCCACAGGCTCAGT